TGGGCAAAGACCCACTTCGTCAGATGCATCTGATGAAGTGGGTCTTTGCCCACGAAAGCTTATGCTCCTACACTTCAGTTAGTCTATAAGGTGCCACAGGACTCCTCGTCGCTTTTCTAGGGAAGTAGTGGACTCTCCATCTCTAGGTGGGCAAAGACCCACTTCGTCAGATGCATCTGATGAAGTGGGTCTTTGCCCACGAAAGCTTATGCTCCTACACTTCAGTTAGTCTATAAGGTGCCACAGGACTCCTCGTCGCTTTTCTAGGGAAGTAGTGGACTCTCCATCTCTAGAGGTGTTTAAGTCTCAGCTTGACAAAGCCCTGGCCGGGTTGATTTAGTTGGAATTGGTCCTGCGTAGAGCAGGGGGCTGGACTTGATGACCTTCTGAGGTCTCTTTCAGTTCTATGATTTGTCTGTAATTCTTTTGGGACTCCCAACAATTGTAATCATGACACCCTGTACATTACTATTGCTGTAGCTGTGGTTCTAGCTGCTGTATCCATCACATCCATTGCAGCCTGGAGAGCCTGTTTTTGCTATGGATTGGCCCTCTTTGATGATGGATTGGAGATGGTCTCTTGTTTTCAGGAAGGTCCTGTAAGAGATCTTGTAATCTGGAGTAATTGGCATAATCATAGTTAGCTAGGAGGGCAGTGTAATTTGATACTCTAAACTGGACAGTGGCAGAGAGTATATTTTCTGGCCCAACAGATCCAGTCATTTGTGTTCTCTCTTAAGCCATAGACTTGTTTTGAGGGTGTTTTGATCTGCGATGAACCGAGTCCACGACCAATGAATTTCGGTGGGGATGTGAGAAAAGAAAATCCATCTCTTTTGCCAGGACAAAGTATTTGCTAATCTGCTCTCCTGTTGGTGAGAGGGACAGAGGCTGGCATCTGATGGCTTCATGATTGTCTTATTGATGGGTAGTGCTAATGAGGATATAGCCAGTTGGAGTATTTTGAGCAATTTGTATTGTCTTGCACGTCTTGGAGTGCAATGTCCTGAGACTGAGCCACTCGCTTGAATAATTCTTAGAATTGTTTCAGGTTGTTTGCCAGTGAAGAGGACGGTACTTGAAAAACTGTCTCACCTGGAGAAGCAGAAGACTGTGGGGCTTCTGAATCAGACTGAGGTAAATTCTCATCATTATGTGCTGGATCTGCCTTGGTTATTACCGAAGAAGGGGGATGAGAAAGCGATGAATGTGCTGTGGTAGCCGGAGACTGTATAGCTGTATGCGCTGGTGTATCTCATGAGTTGTGGTGATGGGAGGAGTGGGGGTGGTGATGGGAGGAGAGATGTAAATTTCGGAAAAGCCTCTTCCGAAAAAAAAGCAGAAAAAGATATGCAAATTGTGATTCATAGATAGGTAGGAATGGTGTCCCTAGCCTCTGTTTCTCTGGAGGTGGGTGACAGGAGAGGGATCACATGAGGATTACCTGTTGTGATCCCTCCCTCTGGAGCATCTGGTATTGGCCACTGTCAGCAGACAGGATACTGGGCTAGATGGACCTTTGATCTGATCTTTATGGTCGTTCATATGTATCTTTTTCCGACTGTTCGGGTATGTCTAGACCTCATCCCAGAAGGCATAACTGGGAGGTCAACAAATGCTTTTGATGTCGACTGCGGAGCATCCAGACTACCACGCTGAGCCAACAAACAGCTGATTGGCTCAGCGCGGCAGCCATTTAAATTTAAATAAAGCGACGATTATTTAAATTGCTGCTTCATTTTCCTATGCCGGGTAGCCTAATCTACATGCCTCTGACAACAGAGGCATGTAGTCTAGATATACCCTGAGGTTGAAACTGTTGTGGTGGATATTGCCATAGGTGATTAAACCACAGAAGTTGTTGGGGTTGCTGAAATGGAGGGTGCCGAGTGGAGTGCCATGAAGCCACTGATCCCATTGGGGATGAGTGGTATGACGAAAAATCTACTCCCCTGCCCACTGCCATGGTCAGTTTGTGTTGACAATGGTGTGGGAGAGTAAGAAACCATTTCTGCACTTTGTCGATGTGGGCTGGAGTGAGATGTTGGTGAGCCTGGTGAGACTACTTCCTACACAGATTGAGATGGTGCACTTGAGTGTAAGGCTTTTTGTATGTGGCACATCTTGTTAGCCGCTTTCTTATGCTCCAGTGCCAGAACATGCTTTAATTCCAACTGCCGGGAACCAGCTTGTTTGATTGATGCCAGCGGCAGCATATCTGGTTTTGTCAGTGCCAGTCAGTTAACGGCATTGGTGGGTGCCAAGGGAGCAGTTTACCATTTTGGTTCTGACTTAGCTCTTAGCTGAGATCAATTTTCACTTCTCCATGGTGCTAGATGTGGATGGTACCGTGGAACGAGTGGCCTGGGACGTAGTGGGCAGTGATCATGCCAGAGAAGCCCATGGCACCCGAGAGCATCTGGGGCGATGAACTAAGTCCTCGCACTAGAGGTGTTGAGTGCACCCGTGTCTCTGGGGACTTATCCCCAAGTGGGTGGAGAGATTTCTCCCAGAAAAGATTCTTTAGCCTCATTTCCGTCTTTCCTTGCTCCTTTCACCTAAGCATTTAGTACAGGATGCGTGTCCATCAGAAGCCAGCATTGAGTCCCTACATAAATCACATTTCTTGAAGCCAAGAGAGCCTGTCATGTCGAACAAACAGGAGGAGTCAGAACTTGGAGAAAAATGAAGTAGAGGGGGGAAAAAACTAGGGAAGCGGGTTCCCCCCTCCCTTAAATAAAGAGCTAGGTAAAGCTAACTGACTAAACTATTAACTCGTAAACTAAACTACATTTAAAAAATTGTCAGAAAGGAGAGCACTGTTGTGACTCTGTCTTCAGCCGAGGATGGTAGAAAAGGAACTGAGGGAGGCTCGCTCCACGTACGCATCTAACAGAGAAAAACAGTGCAAGACAGCGACTGCTCATGTGCAGCACAGGCAGGCACTACTAGGCATAATCTCTGATTAGCGGTGCAAGGACACACCAAGACTTGAGTGGAGCACCCACAGGGACACCACTTGAAGGAGAAAGAGGAGTTTCCTACTGACTTTTTAAACCTAGAAACTGCTATTTATACATCATACTAGGTATAAATACGAGTAGGATACGGTTACTCAAATCTGTTTAGACTATTAACATTGAAAAAGGTACACAATTATTAAAATGAAAGTTTTGCTAGTTTATATGGCGTTTGTCAAATGCCATGCAAAATCTAGAGATAGGACAGTGTGCCAAAACGACTCTGATCCCAGACAAGACTTGGGATAGTAAATACTGGAATAGTAAACACTGGGAATATAGTCTGATAAAGCCTTGTGTTAGAGCCAAAGCTAGAGCAGCCTGGAAAACAAAATAATTTCATGCTTATAGGACAGTGTTGAGCTAATTTAACAAACTAAGTCTTCAACTTTAAATATTTATATCTTTATTGAATCAATTTTTATTCCTTAAAACCTAAAATTAAAAAAAACCCACCAACAACAAAGTTTGACATCTTCATTCAGCCATTTGGCTTATGCATACACAGATGGGAAGTGTATATTTTATATGTTTAACAATGTAACCAATTTTTTGATGTAAAATAAATCCTGAAAAAAAAAATCTCAAAAATGGGCACAGGTACAGCATTGGTTACATGAGCTCTCACATTCTGGCCCAAAATATGTCAAAAACCAGGCCAAGAAACAAATCTCATCCCAAAGAGACTAATCATGCAGTCTGAAATCACAATCCTTGGCTTCTCTGAGATTGACAAAGATAAAAACTCCATTCATCTGAAGAAGTGTGTGGTGGGTTATGCCCACAAAAGCTCATGATACCATCTACATTTTTTGTTGGTCTCTAACGTGGTGCAAGACTATGTTACGTTTTTCCAGTTACAGACTAACATGGCTATCCCTCAAACTTTTAAAGATAAAATTATGTTACAGAATGAACTAAGTCCACTAGCTCATTTCATAAGTGACACTAAAGTCTTAGGTGTAAGTGGATTTTCTCATTGGCATGGGATGAATTGAAGATTGTAACTACTCAAGAATCTATATACACAATACAGATATCCTAAGCTATTAACCCAAGCTTCCCATCTTCAAAATACATTAATATCCATTGAAAATGATATTTTTCAATACAATGTACATTCACATTAAACACACTCCACTTTTTAGTGATAATACAGCTACTTTAATAACTCAAATAGAGGCTCAGTGTGTTTCTTGTTTATTATACATGGTTGCACAGAGGCAGGTTAAATACAATCGATTTTCAAAGTCTCTTGTAATAGTTTCCAGATTACAACATGCAAGTGATCGTGAAAATATTTGGCATTTTTTTAAAAAAATTCTGAACAGGCACTTACACGAGGGAGTTAAATTTGCACTCGTCCACATTTAAGAGAATTATTCAGTATAACTACACAGAATCTTCATCTGCTTTATCAAAGTGCCATAGTAGTAAAACATTTTACAGAAGTGTAATTCAATTATTTTGCTTACTCATAAAGTAAGGTCAACCAATAACACTTGCATTGAAGTTTAGAAAGAGTCTTGTCCAAGTGAACTACAATTGCAAGTAGCCTTCCACACAGCAGGCTTCATGTTGTGCTCAATCCACATATATTATGTCTGATAGCAGACTACGTGATTGTGAACAAATGGAGGCTAACTTTAAGTAATTTGTTCAAAGACTAACCTCAGACAAGAGATGATCAAAACAAAAGTGATCTGTTTTATCCTGACAAATTCCTGAACATTTACAGAACGCAGCCAATTTAAAAAAAAAAAAGTTGTCTCCTACTCAGTTATAGGCCTAGATGAACAAGAGTAAGTATGTTCTGAGAGGCTGTCATTTTTCTTCCTTCCCAAGGATGGCAAAGGAGTAAGCGGCAAAGAGTGGGTAGATTTATGAATACAAGAGGAGATGAGTAAATATTGTGCATGTAAAAAGCTGATTTTGAGCACATAACACTGTCTTTGTTTAATCATTAAGAATCAGCTATGTTAAAACATTTCCATCCCTGCACCATCTTAGTTAAAGGAAAAACAGCAATGGGTGGGAAAATTGAGTTTCACACTTACTAGAAAAACAGACTGGTCAGTAAACTGTTTCTGGAAGTTCTAAGTAAAAACAGATATGGTTAGAGTAAATTATAAGAGCCCCCACAAATCTAAAAGGATAATCTTGGGAACAAATTTGTGAACATTCTTGTGAAAGATGCAAGATTCAAGTCTTCTGAGAACCACGGTATGGTCTTAAAAGACTCCAAACAAGTACAGTAAGTTTGTGGTATGTATATGTATGTGGTTTATAAAGTGTTGAACAACAATTATATGTATAGAATGAGGCATTCTTAGGACAAAAGATCCACCATAAACCCAGATTTTTAGTGTAATTTAGACAAGTATACTTATCTATTGGTTTCAAAAGAAGTGCAGATTAGCAGCATTGGAAGTATGCATGCGATAAATGACATGAAGGGGAGAAATGCTTTAATCTACATATTATAAGTGATTAGCAAAAAATAAATATACAAGCCTACATGCATGGAAATATATAACTAGATTTGTCTAAGTTTTATGCATCTCAAGAGCATAACATTATCAAATAAAAGTAAAATGTGCAGTATAAAATAGTAGCTTAAGAAAGTTCCAGTGTTTGAGAAAGCACTTTATTTTAAATGTATATACACACTTAAATGTTTGCTTGACGAATGTTTTAGTAACACAGTAAATGCAGCACTGTAAGATGAAGGAAGACAGTAGTAATGTGAGTTTTTGCCTTCTCTTTTCCCACAGGCTGCTGCCATCTTTAACCTGCTGAAGTGTCAATAGTTTTTTCATCTCCAATACTAGTTCACATTTCAGGTTGCTCAGCAGATGCTTGTGGTTCTGGAGATTCAAATCTCTGGTGAAAATTTGTTCGTTGTTTCCTCAGTTTCTCAGGAGCTTTTCTCCAAAGAATTATTTCCTATTTAGGAGAAGCAAATGCTCAGTTAGTAGTGAGCTGTTTGCTCAAATATTGACCCCATAACTTAAACATGAAATAAGGTTCTGTGGATACAAGATTTTCAAAATATTTTGTATCACTATTTCTATTCCATAATAAGCTATGTTTCATTAAATCAGGTAGATTGATTTGAAAACACAACCAATTCAGTTTAGGAATATCAAGATTGTATATCTATGGCTATGTCTAGACTGCAAGCCTCTTTCAAAAGATACTTTCGAAAGAGCCTCTTTCGAAAGAGAGCGTCTAGACTGCACGCGGAACTTTCGAAAAAGCAAGCCGCTTTTTCAAAAGAAAGCACCCAGTGAGTCTGGATGCTCTCTTTCGAAGAAGCCCTATTTACATTCAAGAACGCCTTCTTTCGAAAGAGCACTTTCGAAAGAAGGCGTTCTTCCTCGTGAAATGAGGTTTACCGCCGTCGAAAGAAAAGCCGCGTTCTTTCGATTTAATTTTGAAAGAACGCGGCTGCAGTCTAGACGCAGGTGAAGTTTTTTCGGAAAAAGTAGCCTTTTTCCGAAAAAACCCCTGAGTCTGGACACAGCCTATACGTCTTGTGCTCTCTCCTAAGTCAGTTCCTTCCTCTCTGGCTACATCAATTCTCACTTTGTTCATTGTGAAATATTCTTGCTCAAAATATGAATCATGCAGCTCCCCTCTTCTAATTCTTCTGGCTTCCTCTTGGTTTCAGTTTTATTCCTACGCATATTTCCTCTTATGGCCACAAAGCATCCACCCTGCTCTTTATATCCAGAATTAACCCACTCAAGGGAAAAGATGATGCCGCACAGCTAGTAATTAAAAAAATAATGCTCCAATAATCTCCTTTTAGACATGCAGCAATTTGTACCAAATTGCATCAATATTGTTTTGACAAGCTATTTCGATTGCAAGGTATATGGAGCATCAGTCATGCTTTTCTTGCATTTTGTGCCACATTAACACCTCATCTGTACTAAAAGTAGTTGCTCAAGGAGTTCTGCTACCATTCATTCATGTATGATTGGCAGTCTTCATAGCCCTTCATAGTGTCCATCCTCCCCTTCTTGCTCCTTGCTTACAAATTTTTTGTGTTCATTAATCAGCACAGAAAATGGGAGAAAAGAAAGCCTTTCACATTTCTATTTATAGCACAGAATTTGTAGCCCACCCGAGTGCCAATGAAAATAAGCTCGCATGTCACTGATGGCATGCCAACCCCAACACACAGTTTACTCATTCTGCTTCCAAACATAAAAGACTAAAACAAACACGTACCTATTCACAACAAAAGCTATCTTGCCACAAGACTCCAGCTTTAAAACACTATACCTGTTGTTTGAAGTACCGTCTGTCTTCTTCATCCACAAGCACTAGATTCAAAAAGTATCTCACTGAAAATTTTTTATTCACATCCCTCATTGTAGGAGTTGGATCATAGCCTGCTAAGAAAAGTCTTATAGGAATTGATTCACCTGGAAGAGGAAAGAAAAAAAAAGTTAGAATTAGTTTCACCTGAAAGAACTTTGTTTTGTTTTTTTAAAAACAACTGGTCACCTGAAGAAGTTAGCTGTGCCCATGAAAGCTCATACCACCATCTACATGCTTTGTTAGTCTTTAAAGTGCTACCAGACTATTTGTTGTTTTTTAAAAGTTTGTTAAAATATATTCCACAAAATACATGGGATACGCAGGGGTCTGTTTTGGGACCAGTTCTGTTCAATATCTTCATCAACTATTCAGATATTGGCATTGAAAATACACTTAAGTTTGCAGATGATACCAAGCTGGGAGGGGTTGCAACTGCTTTGGAGGATAAGGTCATAATTCAAAATGATCTGGACAAATTGGAGAAATGGTCTGAGGTAAACAGGATGAAGTTTAATAAGGACAAATATAAAGTGCTCCACTTAGGAAGAAACAATCAGTTTCACACATACAGAATGGGAAGCGACTGTCTAGGAAGGAGTACAGCAGAAAGGGATCTAGGGGTTATAGTGGACCACAAGCTGAATGAGAGTCAGCAGTGTGATGCTGTTGCAAGAAAAGCAAACCTGATTCTGGGATGCGTTAACAGGTGTGTCGTGAGCAAGACACAAGTCATTCTTCCGCTCTACTCTGCACTGGTTAGGCCTCAGTTGGAGTATTGTGTCCAGTTCTGGGCATCGTATTTCAAGAAAGATGTGGAGAAATTGGAGAAGGTCCAGAGAAGAGCAACAAGAATGATTAAAGGTCTAGAAAACATGACCTATGAAGGAAGGCTAAAAGAATTGGGTTTGTTTAGTTTGGAAAAGAGAAGATTGAGGGGGGACATGATGATAGATTTCAGGTATCTAAAAGGGTGTCATAAGGAGGAGGGAGAAAACTTGTTCATCTTGGCTTCTGAGGATAGAACAAGAAGCAATGGGCTTAAACTGCAGCAAGGGAGGTTTAGGTTGGACATTAGGAAAAAGTTCCTAACTGTCAGGGTGGTTAAACACTGGAATAAATTGCCCAGGGAGGTTGCAGAATCTCCATCTGTGGAGATATTTAAGAGCAGGTTAGATAAATATCTATTAGGGATGGTCTAGACAGTACTTGGTCCTGCCATGAGGGCAGGGGACTGGACTCAATGACCTCTCAAGGTCTCTTCCAGTCCTAGTATTCTATGAAATGGGTAAGAATGGGTAAAAAAGTGATGGTCTTCTATCAAAGCACTCTTCAGATTTTAATGGTGTAGGCCTTTATCTGAGAAACCCAGCACGGGTCCCAAATTTTAGAAAGGTATCTGCCAGAAAATGGCATAGGAGAGAAGCTGTTTCACCTAGCTGAGTTCCAGATCATTCACGGCTTTAAAAGACCAAGACTTTGAACACCAATTTTATAAGAAGTCAGTGTGTCAAATACAAACTATCACCCTTTGTATTACTCTTTTGGGGACCTCTCATCAGTTACTACATGATCTAAATCTTGTCAGCACTCATGTGAAAATGCTCATATAGCTCTAAATCAGTAAGAGCAAAACTCTCTCAAAACCAGATCAGACAACTATTGATCTGTCACTTTTCTTCAGTTTGATTCAGGCATAACTGATTTGGATCTACAGGATCCAAATTCTATTTGGAGCTTTTACAACACCATCTTCAGTTAGCTCTCTCTCAGGATCCTAAAAGTAGTTGCGCAAGGCGTTCTGCTACCATTCATTCACGTGTGACTGGAAGTCTTCATAGCCGTACATCCTCCCTACCTACTTCCTTTCTCCCAGTGATTTTTCTTGAAGAGTTTAAAACCTCATGATCCTTCTTTTCTTCTACCTTTACCACCTCCCTCCCTAAACTCTTCGCTGAAAGTATGTTTGAGAATCATTAGCAGCAAGCATCTGCCTCCAGGACTCCTAATTTTCCACAATCTCCCCTGTTGACTGAGCGAACCAAGTTTTAGAGTTCCTTCAAGATGCCAATAGGGAAAAGGAAACTTTCTAGGGACATGGCTACACATGCAAACTTGCACCAGCTACTTAAATCTCTGTGTGGACACACTTATAACCAGTTTTAAAGAGGTATCTAAGTATAGCTTGCCCTATAGGGGCTACCAGTTTTAAAACAGATAAGTGTGTCCACATCAGCTATTTAACCTGACATATTTTAGTTTCCCCAACAAATCTGAACCAACTTAACTAAAATAAGTTAAAAAACTACACCATTAGTTAAACTGGTTTAGCTTAATGTTTAGACTAAGCCTAAACAGTATCTTTTAATCCAGTAAATTTCTGTAATTGAGGCACCCAAATTTTCATAGCACAGTGGCTATCCATGATCCCTTAGAACAGTGATTCTCAACCTTTCCAGACTAATATATATCTGATTTGTCTTGTGTACCCCAAGTTTTACTTCGCCTAAAATCAGACTTTTTTTTTTGTATTTTTATCACAGCACACAATTAATGAAAAACTACTTGTCTGTATGAAAGCTTAAGTTGTACTTGCACTGCTTGTGCTTGTTATGTAGCCTGATGTAAAACTAGGGAAATATCTAGAATTGGTGTACTCCCATAAAAACCTCTGTGTGCTCCTGGTTTAGAACCACCACCTTATGAGGTTCAACAAGGACAAAAGTGCAGAGTCCTGCACTTGGGATGGAAGAATCCCAACCACTGTTACAAGCTGGGGACCAACTGGCTAAGTAGCAGTTCGGCAGAAAAAGAGGACCTGGGGATTACAGTGGATGAGAAGCTGGATATGAGTCAACAATGTGCCCTTGTAGCCAAGAAGGCAAATGGAAAATTAGGCTGCATTAGGAGGAGCATTGCTAGCAAATCTAGAGAAGTGACTATTCCCCTTTATTTGTCACTAGTGGGGCTTCATCTGGAGTATTGCTTCCAGTTCTGGGCCCCCCCACTACAGAAAGGATGTGGACGCATAAGAGAGGGTCCAGTAGAGGGCAATCAAAATGATTAGTGAGCTGGAGCACATGACCGATGAGAAAAGGCTGAGAGATTTGGGCCTATTTAGTCTGCAGAAGAGAAGATTGAGGAGAGGATTTGATAGCAGCCTTCAACTTCCTGAAGGAAGGTTCTAAAGAGGATGGAGAGAGGCTGTTGTCAGTAGTGACGGATGGCAGAACAAGGAGCAATGGCCTCAAGTTACAGTGGAGGAGGTCTAGGTTGGATATTAGGAAAAACTATTTCACTAGGAGGGTGGTGAAGCACTGGAATGGGTTACACCTAAGGGGGTGGTGGAATCTCCATCCCTAGAGGTTTTTAAGTCTCAGCTTGACAAAGCCCTGGCTGGGATGATTTAGTTGGGATTGCTCCTGCTTTGGGAAGGGGGCTTGACTTGACCTCCTGAGGTCTCTTCCAGCCCTAGGATTCTAAGAGCGGCTGCAGATCCTGGTAGTAGGCACTAGCTAGCTTGTGCTCAGAAGTTAGCTGATGAGTCTGCTTCCAGAGAGGCAAACATGGTGGAGATGAGAAGTGGAAGTTCTTAATACTTAAAAGGAAGGGAGCACATAGTAGCAAAGTGAGAGAAAAGAAAGACTGTTTCCCCCCTTTTCAGGGGGAATATTCTTCACTTCCTCCTAGATAGGGAGTTAGGTAAAAATAGTTTTGAACTGGAATCCCAAATAAGATCAGATATATTGGTGGGAGGAAAAGTAGGAACAGTAAGAGGACTGAATGTCAAATTTCATGGTTAGAGCCCCCATCTCCAGATTAAGTAATAACTACTGCCACACACAGTTTTGGGTGTTCTCTACCTTACTATACCATTTTACAAACACACAATTTAGCTTTTTCCCCCCAATACAATCAATTCCTATCCATACAAAAGCAAACATTTCAAAAACCTGGTTACAATTTTTAAATACTAGAACACTCTTGAAAGTTCAAGTGCAATTATTTACCTTTGACTGGTGCACCATCCATTATTTCATACTTAGCAATGGTTTCTGTCTCCGTTGTGGTACTGGGCCCTGATTTAAAAAAAAAAAAAAAAAAAAAAAAAAAAAAAAAAAGGTGCAAGGTGTTGATTTGAGACTTTTGGAACATTTACCCGATATGCTTTTCTAGTGCAACTATGGGACTTCAAACTATAGTCTTATGGCAATTCCTGCCCAAAACCAGTGTTTTCATTATAAGTAACATACTTTTTGGTTTCCCTTTGTATGTCTAAGAAAGATTGTGTATATTGAGGTTTTTTTCCCCTTAACTTTCAATAGTGTTTATATTCATAAGTGACAAAAAACCCACTAGGCAGAGCTATATGTTAGTGATGTCATCGTGTAGATGGCTGCATGATTAACCAATAAGCCTGAGTTTATTGGTTAATTTCATTGACTACAGGCATTCCCACCCCACTCCCTCAGCCTTGCTGCCTCTGTATCAGGTCTGCATCAGAGACAACAAGACAGGCGATGGGGGGATGGGAAGCCAGTGCCAGTGAGAAGCTGTCTTAAAAGGCAGCAGTGCGGAGGGTGAGGGGGGAAGACTGGAGCCAATATGAGCAGCAAGCCAGTTTTCAGGCAGGCTCCCCTCATGTGCCAAGTTCCCGGACCCACCTCGCACCCCTTGTTGACTCCTACAGAGTCAGCAGGGGCAGGCAAGAGCCCTCTGCCATACCACTGCAGCGTGGGGTGAAAAAGGGCTCCCTGGGAATGGGACTGGGAGTGCACTGGCTGCTGCCCCGTCCCGGGGACTACTGTATAGTTACGTAACTGCTAAAACTTCATTACACAATATCTAACATCCCTACTATATATAGTATGAATAAATATTTTGCAAGCTATACCTGGCAATCATCCATCTACTCCTGCTTCAAACCTCTTTTGAGTTAACACTTAATTTACCAAATTGTATTCTGATTTCATGAAATTGAAATATCTACTGTAATCCCTCAAATTAAGGAGTAAATTGAAGGGCTCTGTAGCAAGTCCATGAGTCAAGAAGTATTTAACAAAAATGTAGTGCTTGAAGATCTAAACATTGTCTTGAAAAACAAAAGAAATTATTCATATATTTTCTGACATATTACAGCAGCTTAAGTTCCAAGGAAAGAAGCTTTTCTGCTTCTTAAAAACCACCGCACACACACACACACACACACACCACACACCCTACAACAGCACGTTTCAAGTTCTTGTAGACCCTGGAAAATCGTAACGTGGTAGAAGAGCTTGTAAAATTTTGGCATCACAGAAACTTGCTTTTAATAACTCCTATTTAATTCGAATGACTAATGGACATTCAAAGAGAGAATGTCTTTTAAAGATGCTGCATCAGTAACTCCTCAGATGAAGCATGAGTATTCAAACATCACTTCCAGTCATCCTTCCACACAAAAAACAAGAAACTCAACACTGATATTTGTAAAGTTAGATTTTTCTTGGAGGTTTTTTTTTTCCCCCCAAAAGTCTTCCAGTTCTTATTGCAAGAACTGAGCAGCTGAACAGGCCACATGTCACAGTCTCACATATGCTTTCCATATGTATCTCCTTTAATGTAGATGAAGGGTAACATTTTCAAAAATACCTAAATAACATAGGCTTCTGAGAGTCCCTTTTTCAATAGTTACTTATAAAACTTCTGTTAGAGGTCAATGGGACTTGAGCATTTTTTGGAAATTTTACTCTAGCCTCATAATTATCTGTAGTTCAAACACCACCACCTACCTCCTCAACAGTAAAAAAGGCCAATTTCATATAGGGCGTGTCTAGACTACAGAGTTTTGTCGACAAAAGTGGACTTTTGTCAACAAAACTATACCTGCGTCTACACTACCACTGAGTTCTGTCGACATAACTCAGCAGTTTTGTCGACGCTGGTAAACCTCATTTTACGAGGCATAACGCCTTCTGTCGACAGAATTCTGTCGACAGGGGTTATTGCATGTAGGGTTGTGTCTAGACTACAGGGTTGTGTCGACAAAGCAGCTTGCTTTGTCGACAGAACTGAATGTAGTCTAGACGCTCTTTGTCAATAGAAGCTTTGTCGACAGTATCTATCGACAAAACTTCTGTCGACAAAAGCCTGTAGTCTAGATGTACCCATAGACTCAAGTGAATAACCATGCCAAGTTATAGTTTGAGTGTTAAGAGTGTTATTAATAGTGTATAAATGTAAGTGATATAGGATGAGCTCTCCAATCTCAAAGCAAACTTTGTATTCTAGTTTGAACTACATGTCTACTACTAGGTATAGCTAATTCTATACTAAATAGTGATTTTTATTGTAAACCCTAGATGAACAGAAAACCCAACAAAATGTTGGATGAAGCTTCTTACCAGTAGGTTTGAATCAACCTTAACAATACAAATGACTAGCTCATATTTGTGGGGTTTTTTTTTTGCACTCATCTTACCAATTCCAGTGATCTCCTTTTTGATCAGCTGCAATTCCATGTGCTGAATTTTTATTCTTACTAAGAGGAAATAAATTTTTCCAACAATCACATCCTTTAAGTGATACCTTTAGGAAAACAAACATGGCTTTCAGTTAAAGGCTCACCTAATAAACATTAGCTAAAATCATGTGTAAGAAAACAACAAAACAGATTTATCATTTTTTATTGCTGAAACTGAACTGAATACTACCCTTCTGTTAAGGTGGGCTTCACACTCACCCAAGTGAGGCTAGAACATCCCTACCATTATAGATTCCAACTGACAGTATAATACAGAAACACAAATAGAGAGATTGATTCCAGGAAATAAATTTAAGTCACTAGCAAGTTTGCAAGAGACTGAAGGCTAAGCACTAAAAATGGCATTTGGCAACTATTCTAAAAATGGAAGTCTTTGCCATCATTTTGTTTTTACATCTCTAGGATCTTTCAAAAATATCTGAATTCAAGAATCATTATGATAAATCATTCTGAAGTCATCTGTATCACAAAGGTTTCTCTCTTCTTGGTCAGTTCAACTACTACTATTTGTGTAGGTTTTGAGTCACACTTACTTCGACTTGTTATATTCAAATTCTATATGCAGGCAGTCTTCAATGCCTACTTCCATTTTTATAGAGTTGTTAACATCTGGATATGTCGCAAGCTGATGAACAATAAGGTCGTATTCTTTTACCAGGTCTGACAGTCGTCTTACTATTGTCACTTTAAGAAAATACCTACAAAGTAAATAGTGCAGTTAATAGAAACTCAGTTATGCAAGACATTTTTTGTGGATAAAGTTGACACTAATGAAATAACTAAAAACCAAAATAAGACAAGAGGATAATTGTATAGTCAGTAATTAGACATTTCTTTTTAAACCCAACATGCTACAGAATTTTATCCATTGTTTTACTCATTGGCTAGTGAAGTAAATGCATCAGCAACACATATGCCTTCAGTCTCATTTCCTTTAGTTACGCTGATACATATCAAGAACCAGAACGCTATGAACAAAAATCCTCCTTATGATCACACATTTATAAGATTTCTTCACATACATCAAAGTGTACTTGCTATCTCGGCGTTCTTCAACTTATACTAAGTAGTGGGTGAAATGTTACTTTCTTACTTAATGCTCTTTGCTAACTAGAGATATAAGGGAGTAGTCAACTACGTGATAGACCTATGTTTTGCTGCAACAGCCCTTGCGTGTGGGAGGTCCCAACTGCCCGCTGGGACCCTCTATGCAAGGACTGCTGCTGGCAGCTCAACTCAGTCCCAGCACGTGCCCGGTGCAGGACCAAACCCTGCTGCGGCTCTGCAATTTAAAAGGCAGTAGGAGCTAGGGGGATGCAATCCAGCACGAGCGAGAACTGAGCTGGGTTGCCTATTGACTAATCAAGTAATCGAATCAACTACTTGATTAGTTAAATACCTGCCTCTTGTTAACAGGAAACAACCAAAACATTGTGATGAATCCAATCTACTTCTCACTAAGTTAACTATCAATTACAAAAGGGGGCATACAGTGATTTGATAGCCACTAAAACCAAGAACAGAACTAAAAGGTATTTTGAACTCAGAAGCAGCCTTGGTATGAGAGTTTTGGGAGACCAATCACATGTTTTGAGTTGTCTTTGGTATCATGTGATCCTGATGCTTCCAAAGAGATGAGCCCACTACAAAATTATCCCCTTGGGAAACCTTCACTTTACAGAAGGTCTGGACTTCATTAAAAGTGAAAGAAAATGGGTTGGTATTTTATTCATATGTGAGAGTTTCACTGTCCATTCACAAATAAGTGCTATTTTGTGTGTGAGAACAGTAATATCTTTTAGTACCATATACAAGGTTTGAGAAAAATGCATAGTTTAGTTTGGTAATACAGCCGTTTCACAACATAATGGGAAACAGACTTGAAAGGATTACCATTCTGTTGAACACATACTCTGTTTTACATGTAACCTAACCTGACTGCTTATATGCATATTATCATACCTCAATCTGACATTGGCGCCAATGTAGGATTCATATGGCTTCTCAACTTGCATAAACTCAAAGTCATAACTTCTGCTTTGTGTCAGTTCTCCTGGTAAGGCCAGTTCTTTCACTAGGTTTACAAATTCATGAGTATTGCTCTTGTCATTGAAAAGTTCTGAAATTGAGAAATCAAAACAAAGTTTATTAACAAATTCAAATGTTGAAGTGAACATCATCTGAAACATTTTTGTAGCTCTAGTCTTTTGGGAGCGAGAGGAATATGGAGGGAAGAGACGAGACAGTGGAATTTAAAACACATTCAGCCATCTTCAGCATCAAATTACAACAACTAGATCAGAAAGGTAATTCATAAAAGTAAGAAAAGGCCCCAATTATTAGAGATATTAAAAACAAGAAAGGATTGTGTGTGTTGAACCTGTAATGATCCAAACTGGCCAAGATATGATTTTTTGCTAAGCTGGCAAAAGACAATGACATCTCTTGTTAAAGAGTATGAAAAAACAAAGCTTTTACATGGTTCATTGCCAATATCTGCCTCATCAAGCTGGAGCCACCTTTCCTGCATTTTTCCTGTTTGTAAACATTTAATCAAAATACTTACAAAGTGTTTTTGTTACTGTCTGGATGCAGTAAAATGCTTATTATTTAGAGCAACAGTATAAAGATCATTAAGAATTTCGGACTAAATTAGTATTATACTAACACCCTGCATAAATCATACAGATCCAACAGATCATAATGGAGTCTCCATGTGCACTCAGCATCTGGCAGTTACAGCAAAAGGGCTAGAATACAATTAGCAGCAACATGGACACCACCATTTAATCTCCTATAATTATTATTACCAACCAGTCACTTAGATCCAATTCTGGCATGCTATAAACTAGGGTTTCCAAATCCCATTGAACTCATTAAACATGACGGTTAACCAATTTAAAGGGAGGCAGGCTAAAGTGCCCGTCCCTCTTACCACAGGCAGGGGCTGCTCCAGCCCAGCAGGAGCAATCCCTGCCTGGGGCCCACCCACCATGTATGATGCTTCCACCTACCCCTGTCGGGGTAGAGCAGCCCCCTGCCCATGGAGCTGCTTCAACCCTCACAGGTAACCAGCTATCCTGTCAGAGCCTTACTATACACCACACACACTGTATTCAGTGTGAGCCTTAAAAAAGTGCTTATCTTTGAGCCACCCAGTGTTCACATGATGCATATTTTTAACTTTACAAAACCTATGAGAAAAACCATTTCTACTTCTAAATTGTTCATTACTGAATATATTTTCAGAAACTCATTATTACTCTAAGCAGGTTCATAATTAAATATTCTACAACCCAAGAAATAATGCATCATTAAATCAGCTTTAGAAATACAAAAGAACAATATTTAAGTGATAGACACTTAAGTTACTGTTTTTGCATGTAACAAAATAATTATAAAATAATGTTAATGTATTTTGTTTGTTGCTTAATTTTAAATTATACTACATGATTTACTAGTACATTTACTATTGTGTTGTGAAACTATATGTTATCTCACTATAACCATTTTGTTATTTTTTTGTTGAAGCAAGGAGAATAGTTTTGTATAAGTCAGGGAAGCTCTACTGTGAACAGAAAAAATGGAATTTCATAATAGATCTAAGGTGTATAGAGAGTATATTTCAAGTATTTTTGGGTAAAGTTTGTAATAGACCTTTGAACCAAACCAAATGATGCAGAGATTCTTCACAATTTTAGTTTCTAAATCAGAATTTAAAAAACAGAACTTTAGTTTAATGCAATGTTACCAGGCTATATTATATACAGTCTTTGCACTTTTGAAATATTTAAGACACTAAGTTAAGTAAGAGTACACAACTACAAATTAGAGGACTGGTAGGGCCACAGAGGTACTTCTACAAAGAGAGGTAATTATAGACCACTATCACCTTTTTTCTTGTGCTTCCTTTCCTTCTAAATCCAGGATTAAAGATTGCAAAAATTAATCTGGGCACACACTTGGCATTTAGCTTGATATTCTAAAGACAACGTGATAAATGAGCAGGGGAGAGGTTCTATTTTACATGCAATTGCCACTCGTGATTTTTTTAAAAAGTCTAAAATTTTCCAGGTCTTAATTTAGAATATACACATTTGATTATAAAATCCCATCTAGACTGCGAACACCAGTTCTGCATAGGGATGTTAAGGACTAGTCAACTATCTGATAAGCAAATGCCTATTGGATAGTCAACTAGTCGCCCCACCCTGCCCCCCCCATTGCTGCCTCTATCAGATATTCTCAGGTGCTGTGCGGCGAGGCCACTTTGAAATGCCTTAGCAGCGTTTCAAAGGGGTGCTGCTGCATGGAGCCTGGGATCAGCTGTGCGGCGCTTTCAAAACGCCAGTGCCATGTGGAGCCTGGGATCAGCTTGGGAGTCCCCAGTTGATTCCAGGCTCCATGCAGGTTTTCAAAGCAGAAACATTGCATTAGCTAGCAAGTGATTGGGCTGTAGGGACTAAGGATGTTAAATATCAATTAATTTACTAGTCAAGTAGTCGATGGAATTTCAATCAACTACTCAACTATTTGATAGGCACTTCCACATTCCTCCTTTGAAATGTACAGAAGTCCCCAGTAGGGGCTTTTGTGCATTTCAAAGAGGAAGCGCAGCATGGAACCTGGCGTCAGCGCGAGACTAGTCCCTTGCTGACCTCATGCTCCATGCAGGCGCTTCTGATTTGAAATTCACAAGTGCCCTTTCAGGGACTCTTGTACATTTCAAAGGTGGAACACAAAAGCGCTTATCGACTAGTTGAGTAGTTGATGGAAATTCCAACGACTACTCGACTAGTAAATTAATCATTAGTTAACATCCCTAATTCTGCAGCCATCGCATCTGGTAGTAAGTTGTGTAAATGGCAAGCATGATGTCTGGCTGGCCTTATAATGTTTTTCCAGTATCCCGTAAAAATAATCAATTTTTAAATAGACTAGTGAAAGATGAAAGAGGAAGATGCACCTTTCTGACCAGTGTATCTACACAGCAGGGCTGAACTCAATTGTGCAGCTTATTTCAAAATAGCTTATTGTGAGTAGGGGAGCGTCTACACAGCACTTATTTCAAAATAGAGCGCTCTTCCTCCAACTTCCCTTACTCCTTGTACAATGAGGGTTAAAGGAGTCAGAGAAAGAAGTCCCCCAGCTTGACAGTATTTCAACATTATTTCGAAGTAATTGCCTGCTGTGTAGACACAAACTAAGTTATTTTTGAATAACGCTAATTATTTCGAAATAATGTTGCTGTGTAGATGTACCCAAATTGAAAAAGCAAAGTGGCACATTACTTCTAAGTTAGAATGATTAAGACATTGTCTTACTTCAGCACTTGGTAATCTCTTCTAATATAGTCATGAGGACTAAGCCTGAATGCGGACCATCACAATTGTAAAGTTTCACTAGGGGGCTGTGCCCCATGCTCACTAAGTACACCAACTCCTCTCTTGCTGGCCACTTTTGAAGCCAGAGTCCCTGTTAATTTTGCACTGAGCCCAGCTGCATTCTCCATGGCCCCAAGACACTTGCACTCGTCTTGACTCCTGCCTACCACACCCCTGGATGGGCCCCTCTATCTGAACGCTCTTGGTCTATCCTGCCCACTCGTACCCTTCAATCACCATCCATTCCCTCTTACCCCCTCACCAATAAAATAGTTCACTTGCGTGCAGAGTTCGGAGACTCTCCTGTTCAGATAGCTCGGGGCTACGGAGAAGTGACCTGACAGGAAGGGCCATACTCTGTGGGCTTGCGGGCCTCACGTGTAAACGAAAACCAAACGCAATCAATAAAATGGAGCCCAACTCCAAATTAATCCTCTTTATTCTGGGTATTCCTAGGCACCCAGCTTGCTAGCAAGGGGCAAGGGATAGATTATGAGTGAGTGGCCAGGTACGGAAACAACCGGGCATGGAGAACAGGGAATTACTGCCTCTCTTTGCAGGGTGGCAGTGCTCCACATGTGCCATTCCAGCTGGTAAGAGAGCTCCTGTTGCAGAGGTGGGACATACTCAGTGAAGACAAGGCACAATGGAGAGACATGGAACCATAGGGGAGCCCCCATCTTTACAAACCTGCACCCGACTGAGAACCAGATTTGGGTCATGCAGGAAGAGTCCAGTGGGATAATCTGGGCCGCTAGTCCTTATCCTGGAGCTCCATGTGGGGAGCTGCTCCAGGTGCCGTGACAGCCGGATCTGGGATCTTGGCTGGAGAGAAGGGGCAGCAAGAGTGGCATTGCTGGGGTACCGTAAAACAGAAAAGGGGAATGTCTGTGGGCAGAAGAAATTGAAAGGAAGCAGAGAAAGAGGCTGGAGGGAGGTGCAGAGAGTGGGATTGCCTTTGGGATGCCAGGTTGAGAAGGGGAGATGGTAGTCTGTGAGGGGGCAGGAGAGGGGCTCAGGACACACATGGATGGAAAGAGGACCAGGAGGGTGAGGGTGGGGTGTGTCTGGGCACCATCATGCAGAGGCAGCCCTCCTCCCCCAACTATCCCACCCTCACTTGGCCATGCTGACAGCAACTTCAAACACTGACGGGCCTCCCTTGTGACACCTCAGGGATTGCCAGGCTGCGCAAATCAGCCTGGCGCTGGACACACAACGTGGCCACTTGGGGCATGGTAGAGGATGGGGCTGCGGGTGGCTGGGGAAATGGAGCACGTCTCCATTCCCAGCATGAGTGGGCCACACCCTATGCCTTCCACCAGCTGAAGTTGCCCTGCTTGGGAGGAGCACGACCTTGTGGCTTCCGTCCCCAGGTAGTGAGCCAAAGGTCAGCCTGCCCCATACATGCAGTTGTGCACTATAAGCCACCTCCAGAAGGGGATGTGGCAGTGGTTGCTTCCCCCAAGTAGGGGGTCACCAAGGCCAACTTGGTGTGCAGCCAGTGCCTCCCCTCAGCCACCAGGCCCCAGGCCACTTCCCCTATGGATCTGCTCCTGCATGGCACCTCAGAATCTCTGGCCACTGAGAAGGCCCCCCAACATCCCTAAGTCCAGCCTCCCTGGAACCTCTACCTGGACTCTCCCCTCACAGCAATGGCAGCAGTGCTGCTGCAGCCCTGTTCCCTGTGGCAGGCTGATGCGAAGTGGCACCCTGGCCCCAGATACAGTCACTCCCTGCCCTGGACATTTTTCAGGAACCGGCAAAGCCACCTGGCAGCCCAGCCCGGGCAGATTCTGCCTCTTGAAAGGCTGCGGCCAGAGGCGAGCGGGCAGGATCTTTGGGAGGTGGAATATGTGCAGGTTGGGCTGCCAGGTGGTTCTGTCGGTCCCCAAACAGCGTCCAGGGCAGGGAGGTCGTGTGAGGGGGATTGCCGTGGGACACAGAGAGAGAGAGAGAGACAGACAGACAGACAGACAGACACACACACCGATCACATCTGCCTACACCCCAGTTTCAGTTTCAAAACTCACCAATTTGTCCTACAAATTCAATTCTAATTCCTTGGTGCTCTAGCCTCTTTCCATGCTGTTTAAAGGCTATGTTCACCTGGAAAACAAACACAAAAACCAAGAATAGTAGTTAGAGACTTTCATACTTTTTCACTGTAGCACTATAGGTGTTCACTTTCGTTTCTAGACAAAGATCAGTTATTTGGGTGTGTCCAGACAAATATCTCCTTACTTCATCTTTTTCCACTCCATGACTTCTAAGGACTTAAGCTTGTGTAAAACCTTAAGGATTATATGCAAGATAATGTATTAAGGGAAAATAAAGACCATTCAAGGAAGTTTAAAACTGCCATTAAATCAGGGTAGATAATTGATTTTTTTTTAAAATAAAAAATGTATTTTGATTTTTAAAGAAAATACTAAATTTCTCATTTAAAATAAATTACAATTAAATTTCATCACAAATGCGCCACACACACACACACACAAAAATCAATTAATTGCTCCAGTCTGTCCAGCATAACTACTAGCTCTTCCCTTGCATGTTCTGGGCTTCTAATTTCTATTTCTCAGCAGACTAAAAGGTAATGTATGCAAACAGACACAAACTGGATAGGACTATTTTTGTTCTGTGTTTATATGGCAGTGGACCTTAGCCAAGCAAGGCAGAGGAGTTAGTTAAGACAACGTCTTAAGACGGAGAGACAATAAAGTCCAGAGGAAGCATAGGAAAACAGTGGAAAAATTGACCAAAAAGAAAAAGGGAAGACATTCAGTACACATACACCTTCCTATATTCCCCTACACTTTTGCCACAGAAAAACTATCATGGTTTCTGGGAGCAAGAGAGACCCTATCTGGGAATATTTTGAAGAAGTTTGTTCCCTGGGGAAAAAAGGAAAATGTATCAAATGTAATCAGTACAAGATAATGATGATGATGCAGGGCATACTTGCAAGAATGTATCATCATAAAGAAAACTGCTTATTGGGAGAAAATGATGTACATGAAGCTGTGAATATGGCTGAGTGGATCAGCTGGTTAGGAACCTAAATAATTCACTTTGTAATGCATCATTCTTCAAAACTGTGACATAGTATAAATGTGATTTGATTAGTAAATTTCCAAGCTGTTTGTAGTATTGGATGTTGATAGAAAAAAGAGTTTAGCCTAGCTAATCCCTATGGCTTGTTTAATTAGTTAACTAGGTTTAGAATCTGTCATTCAAATATACAATACAGAAAGCTGCAATAAGAGAGATCTAGAGTTGCAGTGATCAGTGGCATTTTTTATTACATAAAATACATGCCCCTTATTTTGGGGCATCATGGTCACAGACCATAATGGTGATGTCATAAGTCAGATTCATCCTTCCTGATCCCAAAATTGAAGGAGCAGACCAAATGATTTTCTTCCAAGAGGAAGGCCATCAGGCCCTGATCTTGCTTAAGGAAATTTGTTTACCTAAAAAAATTGTTTTTCATCATGACATCCAGTCCTCAGTCAGAATATCCAATTACCAACACTGCAGAGGCACACAAGATCCTATTTTGTCTTCCATCCCTGTTGTAATACTTTCTGCACCATTTCCTTCCTCCTGTCCTTTTTAATCAGCTTTTCATCAAATCTTGAAATCAAATGCACTGCATCAGCACAGCAAGATGAGTCGGTCACAACTCAGCCCCATGTAAGGAGAAAGGACTTTATCGGATGGTTTTCAATCAGATCAGAGACATCATGATTCATGCAGTAGGTGTCATGGTCAACCCGCCAACCAAAGCATCCATTTTTAATTAGCCAGCCATCCAAAATTCTAAAACTCAACAGAAGCCATATTCCCCACCTCTTCTTGCTAGTATTTCCACTAACTTGTGCCTGTTAAAAACAGAAGATGTGATTACGCCTCACACATTAGCACTAATAACAGAATTACTTTTCCTTTTAATCAAAAAGGTAGTTAATGAAAGACTGATTTTTTGACTCCAAAAGGAAAGAGAATTCAGATTAAAGTTCTGGGATTTTTGCATAATTATTCAGTTTCAATATAAATACTTTTTATTTATTATTCTCTCTTATGTTTGATCAGTAAGCTTTCAACTTTAGATGGAAAATACCCAAAAGCAATCATTCTAAGAAAACGAGTGAATCATAGCCTCTATAAAAACCCTAAACTTTGTATCACGGTTTTAATGTTGGACAGTAAAAGTTAATAATACTTTTAACTCTTTTGACCTTTGAGATTAAGACCATCTTTCTTTCCCTGCCCCTTCTCTCTCCTAATCAAGAAGACGGCAAGCCAAAGAAGCCTAGCAGGGCATCAAAACCCCATGGAGGAGAAGCCAGGTCAAGCCTGAAGACATCACAGCTCAAGGGTAAGAGCTATGGATGTGAATGGCTAACTGGTGAGCGACCCCACAGTGGGAGAGCTACTCCAGTCAGGCTGATGCAACCTCCACTCTGTTTAACCAGTTAACCAATTAAAATCTTACATCCATCCCTAGTAGAAACTCCTCTAACAAGTATGCTGCCAACTATTAAAAAAATTAAGGAAATGTTAAAGGTATTGTAATTCAGTGTTTAAATAATTTTTGGAATACAAGCTATTTTATTAACATACGTCACTCCTTAAAAGGGGGAAAAAAAAAAAACCACAGAAGTTTAAGGGCTAACTTGACAACTCATGACAGTGTTAGCACAGAGATGCATTTGATTTTGTTTGTCTGCAGAGAACTCAATTTTCAAGATTTTTGTAAAAACATACTATATTAAGTTGATCTTATGGAGTACTGAGCTCTCTATTATTTTCTGATCCCCCTTCACAGCCCCAGGCAAGTATGACTTTCTACCAGGCTAGCTGCCTAATGGCTGTCCCTAGAATAAATGGAGGAGGAGAAGTCTGAGCAGCCTCCCAAGTAGCCCTTCTCAATACAGGTGACTTTGAGCACAATGGCTGAGGGGAGAAAGGGGAAGTAGAAGGGGAGAAAAGCAGCTTTAGAAGAACTGGTGAGAAAAATTCTATTGCTAACACATTCATATGACATAACCGCATTAGCATTTTGAACTGAGGGGCAAGCGTATTTATTGGTGGAAACAGATCAAAACAAGTTAGCATAGGTATTCGGTAGCCTAGCGGGGGGAAGACTTTGCCTTCCTAAACCTGCTGTTCTAGGAGCAGAATGTTGCTGCTCTCAGCGCTCACCCTCCCCTGGTGCCCCAGGGAGGTGGGAGCTGCACTGCATGCTCTCCTTTCTCCCCTACTGCTCTGGGCCAGGGCGCTCCTTTCATCTCTTCTCTTCCGGGGGGGAGGGGAGGGAGGGATTATGCACTCGGCATGCTGCCCCACCTCATCCCCTCCCTGTGGAGGGGGAGGGGAGGAGGGAGAAGAGGCGGGCCTCGGCAGAGGGAGTGAGGTGGGGGGCCTGCCTCCTCAGGATGTAACAGTGTAGTCGATTACCCGAGAAGCAAAAGCTTTAAGGTTAATGCAGTGGTCTCCAAACTTTTTACATCCAAGATCACTTTTTAAATGTCAGGACAAGCCAAGATCTACCCCATCCCTTCCTTTTTCCCCTTCTCTCCATCACTTGCTATCCCCAGCCCTTACAGCCTCTCAGGGTACAGCTACATTGCCGCCACTTTTTATCCTTATGTTTGAGGAGATTTTTCCGACGTTTGGCCTGTCTAGACTGGGCCAAATGTCAGAAAAACCCCTTCTCTTGGAAGCCCCCTTATTCCTCGTGGAACAAAGAATACAGGGGCTGCCAAAAGAGCATTTGCGCCGGAAAAACTCCTGTAGTCTAGCTGTACCTTCACTGGGTTGCGACAGCAGGTACAGGCTCTGGGGTAGAAACGAGGGATTTGGGTGTGGGAAGGGGTGAGAGGTGCAAGCTCTGGGAGGGAATTTGGATGCAGCAGGATGTGGCGAAGGGAATGCTGGCTCACGGAAGGGGCTCCACGCTGGGGAGTGTTCAGCTCAGGTGAAGGGCTGGGGTGCTGAGCAAGCCACAGGCTTGTGGATGTGGGGGTACAGGAGTTTGGGGATGGGAGAGGCTCAGGACAGGGGGTTTCAGTGTATGATAGGCTCGGATTTGGGATGGGGGGGTACAGGAGTGTTATGATGCTGGGGCCAGATGAGGACTTAGCCCCAATTGGGGGCTTGTTGGCCAGGCTTCGTTTGTAAATAAAATATGTCAAAACACAAAAGGTTTCAGCATTGTCCTTAGGAGGGGGCAGGGAACCTGTTTTGACTCAAGGGTCACTGACCTACAGAAAAGTGAGTTGGGTCCACACAAGTGAGATACAAAAACACAATCCCTCCAAAACCTTTGTCCATCATTATATGAAATTAAGGATTACCAAGGGAGGTGACAGAAATTCCTTCCTTTATGTCATCTCGTATAGTGGCGGAGATGCCCCTTAAATGCATAATTTTAGAAACAATCCACTCACAAGCCAGATAAGCCTGGCTACTATTCAGTTTAAGATGTGAATCCTGTTAGGTTAACTGTTTCCACGCTAGGGATGTAAAAGGTTAACCCATTACACGGTAAGTATTAGCCTTACCAGTACACCAATTAACCGTAGGGCTGGCTGAAGCAGCTCCTGCCCTCCCCCCCGCGGTGTGGTGAGATCCTGGTCAGCTGAAGCAGCCACCCACCAGAGCAGCCCCTCACCTGCAGCAGGCAGGCCAGACCCCAGCCACACAGTTAATTGGTTAAACAATTACAATTATAATCGTTTAACCAGTTAACTTTAAGGGATATTCCACACAATTTTGATCCATCTTCTATGGATATTTGCCCCTCAAGCAGACTGTGCTGAGATTTATTTTGTTTAAGTCTAGTAAACATAAATCCCTCGTAGCTGGGAATGGAGCTTGCAGCACGGTTTAAAAGAATATTGGGGGAGGGGTGGAGGAAAACACAGAAAGCATGATGTACTGTCAATTTTAAACTATTTAAGCCACCTTATTAGTGTTCAGGAATCAATAATAAGTCACCATCTCATCTCCCTGGGGCTAGAAGATCCTTTCTATGGAAATATGAAGTACACAGTATTTCCTTGCTTACAGCTGTGAGCTCATGAATTGTTGTGCCTTGCACTTCAGAATGTCACTAGTGATCTGTTAATGTCTGGGACAGAAAGTGCAAGAGATCATGCAAGCAGTTATCTTATGGTGAAGAGGAAAAAAGGAGAAGGGAATGGAAGTTGCCTACTGAGCCAACTGTCTTCAGATCCAGTTGCAACTGCTTTAGTCTAAGCTCCACAGGGACCTCCCAGCAATTAATAAGCAAAGCACAGACTGTCTCCTTTTTTTAAAAAGTATCAGCAAGTATATAAAAGATGATGCTTACTTCCTCTTAAAAACACACTAGCTCTTGAGTGTTAGACATTTCACGAGAAAGTTTCAGTTCTCTAGAAAGACATTTCAGGAACTCCTTGATGTCTGTGTGGGGAAAGAAGGCGGTCTGAAGAGTGGCAGCATTTTCTAATGGTGAACAGGTGCCTTGAGAAAAAGGTTGAGATACTGCTTGTATTTAATCAACTTCTGCTCAGTTTCTTTGAGGGAAGAAATTGATTAAACACAAAATGTAATCCACAGCGTGAAAAAGCTTTATGATGACAAAACAAGAATAGGGTAAGACACTCTTCAGCAAGATACTGAATGATTAAGAATTCCCTGACTCCTTGCTGGAAGCAATTTGGGCTTCCTAATCCTCGCCTAAAACACTCTCTCTACAGAACTGGTAGTCAGCTGAACGAAAGATTCCTTGAGGTACTACCAGATGCCACTTCAGGATATGAGCATTAACTTCAGGATGTATAGAACAAGCGAGTAATTGAGGTCCAAAGACTATTGCTATAAATGGTGCCTTCTTTTCTTCAGATTCCAAAGATTATTGCTTCCAACAAGAAAAATTATTCCAAAGTGGCATGGATGCCTTTGGCTGCACCAGCCTCTTTAGAGACAGGAGGAAAACAAGAAACGAAAGGAAGATTGAAGTGTCATAAATGTATCAATTTGTTCCAAAACCTCTTCCTAACAATAACAAGTCACCGGGACCGGATGGCATTAACCCAAGAATTCTGAAAGAACTCAAATGGGAAATTGCAGAACTATTAATTGTGGTTTGTAACCTATCCTTTAAATCGGCTTCTGTACCTAATGATTGAAAGATAGCTAATGTGCCGCCAATATTTAAAAAGGGCTCCAGAGGTGATCCTGGCAATTACAGACTGCTAAGTCTAACATCAGTACCGGGCAGATTAATTGAAACCATAGTAAAGAATAAAATTGTCAGAAACATGGATGAATTAATTTGCTGGGAGAAGTCAACATGATTTCTGTAAAGGCAAATCATGCCTTACTAATCTGCTAGAGTCTTTGAGGGGGTCAACAAATATGTGGACAAGGGGGATTCCAGTGGATATAGTATACTTAGATTTCCAGAAAGCCTTTGATAAGGTCCCTCACCAAAGGCTCTTAAGTAAAGTAAGTTGTCATGGGATAAGAGGGAATGTCCTTTCATGGACTGATAACTGGTTAAGAGACAGGAAACAAAGGGCAGGAATAAATGGTAAGTTTTCAGAGTGGAGAGAAGTAACTAATGGGGTCCCCCAAAAGGTCTGTACTGAGACCAATCCTATGCAACCAATTTATAAATGATCTGGAGAGAGGAGTAAACAGTGAGGTGGAAAAATGTGCAGATGATACTAAACTGCTCAAGATAGTTACAACCAAAGCAGACTGAAGAGCTTCAGAAAGATCTCACCAAACTAAATGGGTAAGAAAATGGCAAATGAAATTATAGTGAACACTGGAAAAAATAATCTCAACTATATGTACAAAATGACGGGGACTAATGTAACTGTTACCACTCATGAGAGTGCTCTTTGAGTCATTATAGGTAGTTCTATGAAAATGTCCACTCAGTGTGCAGCACAGGCAAAAAAGCAAACAATGTTAGGAATCATTAAAAAAGGGATAGCGAATAAGACAGAGAATATCTTATTGCCTCTACATAAAACCATATGCCCACATCTTGAATACTGCGTACAGATGTGGTCACCATCTCAAAAGAGATATCAGCATCGGAAAAGGTTCAGAAAAGGGCAACAAAAATGGTTAGGGATTTGGAACATGTCTCCTATGAAGAAATATTAAAAAAACCTGAGACTTCTCAGCTTAGAAAAGAGACTAATGGGGGATAGGCTAGAGGTCTATAAAATCAGGACTGGTATGGAAAAAGTGAATAAGGAAAAGTTATGTATTTGTTCCCATAACATAAGAACAGGGCGGGGGTGTGTATCACCAAATTAAATTAATAGGCAGCAGGTTTAAAAACAAATAAAAGGAAGTTTCTCTTCACCACAGCGCAGTCAGCCTGTGGGTCTCCTTACCAGAGGCGGTTGTGAAGACCAGGACTTTAACAGGGTTCAAGAAAACTAGATAAATTCATGGAGGACAGGATCATCAATGGCTATTAGCCAGGATGGGCAATTGGTGTCTATACATTATATACTGTATATAAAGTGTTCTTAACCCTTTTTATTGTACATACTGTATACAGTATACTGTAATCTGTTAGGCTTTTTTAAGCCTTTTTTACCCTTTGTGCTCAGTTCAGCTGCTGCCGCTGTTACCTTGTAACTCATTTTTTGCCGAAGCTCACTCACTAGGCTCTTGCCATTTTGATGCCGGACTATCAGGAGTGCCGGACTATTGGAGTTTTACTGTATTGGCATTGGAAAAGGTTCAGAAGAGGGAAACAAAAATGATTAGGGTTTTGGCACAGGCCCAATATGAAGAGAGATTAAAAACACTTGGACTTTTCAGCTTAGAAAAGAGGAGACTAAGGGGAGATATGATAGAGGTCTATAAAATCATGACTGGTATAGAAAAAGTGAATAAGGAAAAGTTATTTACTTCTTCCCACAATATAAGAACTAGGGGTCACCAAATGAAATTAATAGGCAGCAGGTTAAAAAAAAAAAAGTTTTTCTTCACTCAGTGCATAGTCAACCTGTGCAACTCCTTTCCAGAGGATGCAGTGAAGGCTACAACTTTAACAGTGTTCAAAAAAAGAGCTAGATAGATTCATGGAGGTTAGGTCCATCAATGTCTATTAGCCAGGATGGGTTGGAATGATATCCCTAGCCTCTGTTTCTCTTGAAGCAGATGACAGGGGAGGGATCACGTGAGGATTACCTGTTGTGATCCCTCCCTCCTTCTGGGGCATCTGGTATTGGTCACTGTTGGCAGACAGGATACTAGGCTTGATGGACCTTTGGTCTGACCCAGAATGGCCATTCTTACGTTCTTATGAATCAGCAATAGGCTAACAAAAAGAGATTACCATTAATTATTACACTAATATGAAAGAACTGAAGTTTGTAAAACATGCACAAGTAGGAATATAACAATTTTCTGGCCTTTAAGAGCAAATGCAGACCAAAGAATTAAGCTACTGTTCAGACCTGTTTACCTAGCCCCAAGAAAAACTTACATCTCATGTTTGATATCCAGTTTTTATTTCTGTGCTACAAAAAGTAAAAGAATTATTAGAAATACACACATCTTACCTTTCCTGAAACAGATTCACCATCATAGAAGAGGAAGTGTTTTTCTATTTTGCCCTCTTCAGTTTTAATTTCTGCTGTTTTCCGTGTTTCTGCATCATTAAGATGAATGTCAATCTCACAAATAGGACCAAAAAAGCCTCCAAGAAAACTCTGCAATAAAATATATATATTTCAGATTATCACAGTGGAAAAGATAAATATACTTTCTGAAATAAGATCTTATTTGTGGTGGTGATGTCGAAGACTGGGGGATGAAAATATGTTCACAATTACCTTCAGTAAACAGAAAATTTGTGTAAGACCTGTTTGCAGACATTCAGCACAGAAATTTTTAGAATACACAAATGATTTCATTGTAGGGGTTAGGAATGTAAGCAAGTAGTCGACTACCCAATAAGCCTAGACTTATGGGGCAGCCAACTACTTACTTCCCCCCCTCCACTTGCTGCAAGAGTGAGGGGGAAAGCAGGAACCAGTGCAAGGGAGAGCCAGCTTGAAAAACAGTTCCTTGCAGCACCATCTCTGTAGTGCCGCCTGCCCACCTCCCGCTGCTGTCTCTTTTTGAGGCAGCAGCACAGGGGGGAGGAAGGGTAGCAATGGAAGCAGCCGTGAAGCAGCCTCTGCCTGCAGCAGGCCCAACCTTGCCACAGGCAGAGGCTGTTCTGGTAGCAGTCCCTGTCCTGGGGATGGGGGTCCCAGCTCCCCTCCGGATCTCCTCCTCCCCTCCGCAGACAGGGGCTGCTGGAACTGGTACAAGCCAGGACTGAGCAAGCCCAGCTCAGTCCCAGCTCATGCCTAGTCTGGGATCTACCCCTGCTGCCTGCATTCCCGGCTCTTACCATATTTAAACTGCAGAGCCACCACCGGGGTAGCTCCTGGAGCCGACACAAGCTGGGACTGAGGAAGCTTCCCTTATCGACTAATTGTGTAGTTCATTAAAATTTTATCAACTACATGATCAGTGGATAACCTGCCTTTTAACATCTTTAGTAAAGTTATAAAGGGGTACCTGGTTAACCAGTTAACCAGTAAGCATTGCTTTACCAGCAAGTGTACTGGGGTAACTAGCAGGGTTCCCTCTAAGATTTTCCATCCATGAGCAGAGGGGCTGCGAGTCCCTGCCTGGTGCCCAGGGTTTACAGGGAGTGAGGCAGCAACATGTGGGGAGCTGGCAGGGGGCTCAGGGCCAGAGACAGGGACGGGGGGGGGCGAAAGGAGGGCAGCAGCAGGGACCCCAACTCCAAGAGCAGCTGCACACAGCCCGCAACGCCAGTCCTGCTAAGCTGCTCCTGGGGCAGGGCCGCATGGTGAGCAGCTGCCTGGTGTACCAAGAATGGTGTGCCGCACTGCGGTGCGGTGCAGTGCAGTGCGGCTGCTCCTGGGACACATCATGACATTGTAGCAAACTGTTTATTGGAATCCGAGCAGGTAGGTCACAAACTGAAAGATATGGGAGACAATGTATAGGAAACACAGAAGAACTTGAAAAAGATGTTTCTTGATTCAAGATTGTGTACCAAACTCTAGCTTGAGGAGGAAGGAAAGGAACATTTCAAATGATCTGTGACCGCTCTTGAACAGAACTTTCTAGATGCAAAGCACACACACAAAACTAAATGTAGTGCCTCACTTTCTTCTGTTGGGTACATTTGGTAATCTATAACGTGGTGTCTCATTTTATATACGGTTTTTGACTACATGATGAGATATAACTTGTAGTGTTTGATGGCCTCAAAAGGAGAGAGATTTAAAATCTTAAATGAAGTGTAGAACTAATGATACAAGAAAGCTGTTCCAAACAGGCACTGCCGAGAGGAAAGTTCTCACATCAGTGAGTGTGACACTGTGTGGGGAACAGAAGATATAGGATCACAAGGCAGGTTGAAGCAAGGACAGAAAAAGCAATTTTTTTCTTATGAAATGTCAAGATACAAAAGGCTGAATAAGAGGTTCCTGTACTTGGTTTCTGTCACAGTAATGAGCGTCAAGTAAACAGCTGAAAAACACTTTAGGGAGCTGTGCAACACTTTCTGTAAAGGCAAGCTAAATTAGCTACCCAGTACTGAGTGGAAGTCTTGGGCTACGTACAGATTATATTCGTGTAAGATAATCATTTAAACAGCTATGCATTAACTGATAAGCTTAAGCAGGAACCAGTGCCTGTGAGGAGCCGGCTCTCCACCATACTAGTTCCCATGGAGCCACCTGGCCCCTCCTACAGCATCATGGAGGACAAGCTGGAGCTAGTGCTCAAGCCACCTATCCCTATCCCCCAACCCATGCTGCTGTCTCCATATCAGCTCATCCTCCCTCCTCCCACCCCCCAGACAGGAGCTGCTGCCACGGAGCAACCTGTCAGCAATGGACCTGGGCTCACTGAGGATAGAGGCTTCTCCATGGGATGCTGGCATAGCCTGTCCATGAGGAGCTCGGATCCGCTGCAGACAGAGGCTGCTGCCACCCCACTCTGCCTCCTTCCCCTCCCCCCCCCAATTTTTAAACTGGCTTCTCCTACCAGCCCATGCTGCAGCTTTTGATACATAGGCAGAAAGAGTTGGTGGGCTCCATTTGGAGAAAGGAGCCAGATTGTTGGTGTGGAGCCTTTTCTAGGCCAGGAGCTGTTGTACTGAAACTAGAGCCTGTTACGGACAGCCTCCTGGGGCTTAGATCTAACAGGGTGCTTCAGGGGCTGTTGGTGATTGTCCATGGAGGGGAGAAACCCTGGCTGTGCCTGTGGAGAGAAGGGCCTGCATAAATTTGCATAGAAGGTACTGAGAGTAACTGTGGCTGTTTGGGAAAGTGCTGGCTGGGACAGAGCTCAGAAGACAGACTGACACTGAGTCCAAAGAGAGCTAGTGACCTGCCTAGTGAACCAGAGCAGCTGGCATTTAGTGTGTAGTGGGTGTTCCAGTGGCAGAGGGATTTTGGATCTGACTGCTTAGCTTGGACTGACACACACAGAGCTTGCTTAGTAATGTCTCCACTCTAGCTGTTGCTCTTTAAGCATGCCCACACAAGTGTCTGGGACTCAGATCCAGAGGAGTGTATACTCTGGGATGGGATAAATGGTGGCAGGGCAAATGCCAGTTAGATAAGTTTCCTTTATTTCTGTGTACTTTGTTGATTGATTGTATTTGCTTTTAGTCTATTAAACCCTGTTCTTTAAGTGGTTAAGTAAAGGTGTGTTAATTCTAATTTGATCAATTAGATGTATATTATTTATAATTGTTGTTCGGCGTTAGATCCAGAATATCACTGGAATAATTCTATTCCTGTAAGCTCCCAAGGCACACCATTAAGTCTGTACAGGGCCAGCCAGGAGGAGGCACCACCATGGCATATTCTTTAGGAGCAAGTGACTGAAGCAAGGGGGTGGATAAGGAATCCCCAACTAAACACCACCACCACTGTGGTGCTCAGGATCTCCTTTTACATTAAAACTATCAGGCGCCAGGCACACAGGCAAGTGTGGCCTGCTCCCGAATAACCCAGGGATGAAAGAGGAGGGTTACACTTGGTACCAGGGTTAAACCTTAACTGCTGAAGAAGAGGAGTTGGCTAAGACATGGGCATCCAGGAAGCATCCCTCCATAATACCAATTATAATAAACTTCAAAGCTAAGGGTTTGTCAAAATAGCTCATAGGTAAACAGACCAACCAAACAGACTGCTATATCTTGCATATCAAGAAATGTTTGCTGCTGCTGTTTTAAAGTAAGTCACACCAGCAAACATGTGGAAGTCACTTAACCATTTGGATTCAGGGACTATTGAAGTGAGAATATCACTTAGCAGCAGTAGTTTCTTTCGCTGGTACAGAAAGAATATTTTCTTCCTTTGGACTACTTCATTCCAAACTGAGAAATCATTTGGAACCTGAAAAAGCAGGAAAGCCCATTTTTTCTTTTCCAGATTTCAAACAGGAAAATGAAGGTGAAGAAGCCAATATTTTAAGTTTCTTATGTTGACCTGGCTGACAGTTGATTTAATTTTTTTAAAGATATTTCGTACAACTGTTTTAGTTAACAATAAACAAAAAAAATGTGAATGTTAAACTAAATTTAAAAAATCATAATAGTTTAACAAAACAAGCATATGTTTTATACTGAAGAAAAAATCTAGAACATATAATGTTGTTTTATTTAAGTAAAACAATTTAAATGCCTGTCTGGTGATATTCTCTACCTAATACAGCATGGAATGAAAATCCTCCATATATTAATGATTAACCTGTTGAACTGGAGATATTTTTGAAGTCATTAGGAGGTGAACTATCAGCTTCAATTACTTTTAATAAATGAAATAACCAAACAATCATTATCTGATATAGCTGTAAAACTATTTTTTCAAAATTAATCACTGTTCAAAAACATTTAGGCTATGTCTACACTAGCGCCAAGCCTCATTTGCATATCTAATGAGCCGCCATTTTTGCAGAAGAGGCTCTTGCGCCAGAAGGAGCTATCTACACTGCCCCTTCTTGCGCAAGAAAAACCCTCTTGCGCAATGCTGCTACGCTGATTATTTTCCAGGAATAACAGCACTGCACAAGAGGTTTTTCTTGCACTTGTGCAATGCCGTTATTCCTGAAAATAATCAGCGTAGCAACATTGCTCAAGAGGCAGTGTAGACAGCTCCTTCTGGCACAAAAGCCTCTTTCGCAAAAATGGTGGCTCATTAGATATGCAAATGAGGCTCGGCGATATTCCACGCTTAGTCTCATTCGCATATCTCTGGCGCAAGATTGCGCCAGCGTAGACATAGCCTTAGTGTGTACCTTTTAAAAATGAAACCTACATCTCTCTAAGTTATAACATTAATACATATTATTTACAACAACCAACATGAACACATTTTTATATGGAAACTATGATTAAATGGAGTCTTCCTGACTAGTGATTTAAATCAAATGCACCCAGATCAGTATTTTAATAAAAACACCATCACGTACCCTAGTTTTTCAAAATAGCTTATATGTAAAAAGACCATCCAAATAGACTTCTATACCTTGCATATAAAATTAAGATCACAGACCTTTAAAATACTGTAAGACAGTTGCAAAGACTCAAATTCATTGGTAAATTCTGAAGTTACGCTCCTTCCCAAAAGCACTAGTTCCTATTTAGCATGGATAAATAAAACAAAATTTGGAATTTCAAGGCTAAGCCATTTAAAAAAAATTCTAAAAATGAAAACCTTAATATTTTTAAATTAGTCTATTGATCTCAAACTTTTCCTAAAGAGAATTCCTACTAAAGCAGTGGATTTAAAAAAAAAAAAAAAAAAAAATGTTGTGTGTACTAATTTCTTCTTATCGCGTCTCCTTGCTAAACACACTGTAATAGCAAGTAATCAGTCTTAAATATCAATGAGGACATATCCTTATGATATGAAACGGTCCTAAATCTTTCCAAATCTTGCTGGGCACTTTCAACTACAAAGGCTAGTGTATTTCAGTAACCCCCACACAGAATTAGTAAGGCATTTTGGGATATTGCGTATTATTTTTAGGGCATTCCAAGTTATCAGTGGTTCACAGTCAAGCTAAAAGGGCACACTGATCTCCACAGGATTGGGCTCAGTCCTGAGTCTGGTTTAATCAATGCTTTCAATAACGGCATAGACAGAACGTTTGCAGATGATACCGAGCTAGGAGAGCTTACAAGTGGTTTGGAGCATAAGATTGTCATGCCCCACCATGCTTTATGAAAATTGGCTTATAAATATGCTTAATTATGATGCTTTAGGCAAAACGCATTATATGACACGTCATTTAAATACCAGTTACAATCTGCTGAATCTGTGCATTCTATTTCTGTGTATGTATCATTCTTGTAGGTGAAGTTAGAAATATGAAGCATGAACTCATTTATAATTCAAAATGTGCTAATAAGGGCCATTAGTGATACTCCAGAAACGTAGTGGCTTGGTACCCAAAAAAATGATCTGTGAATGTAAACTGTGATTGGTCCTGCCAGACCACCTGATGCTGACCCCATATGGATCTTTTACATTTCCACTGAAAGTGAGAAAAGTCTGAACTGAATACAGAGAATTCCTATGTTGGGCAAAAGGTGGGAGACCAAACAACAGGAAGAGGCCAGATTCCAGGAGACCTCCACTTACTACCCAAGATGCCTGCTGGAAACATCTAAGATTGAACAGGTGGAAGGATCAGTCCCAGCAAGGAGGCTGCTAGCTTGTGGAAAAAATTATTAGAACTACGGTTAAGGGAAGAATTTGAATGTAACAAATTTCTTAGTATATTAAGCTTAATTGGTGTGTGGGGTTTTTTTTTTAATTTTGGCTTAGTAATTACTTCAAACAGTATTTTTTCCACTTGAAATCACTTAAATCCTACTTTTTATACTTAACACAAGTGTTTTTATTATTAATCTAGTGTAAATAATGATTGGAGGGGAGGAAGGAAAGCCGCAGCTGTGCATATTTCCATCATTGATACTGAGAGCTAACCTTCTGAACTTTCACTGCATAAAACTTTTATACAGAGACAGGGTACGTCTAGACAGTTAACTGCATTTTAACATCCTTAATCTAGGCCCAGCCTAAGAGACTGAGTTTGGTCCCTATTGGGGATTGTGTTCCTGGGTGCTGTCAAAGCCCTATTGCTGAGCTCTACCAGAACTAAGCTGGTTCAGAATCTGTCTTGCTCTGCTGGAGATATTATCGAATCTGTCACGAAGATTAAAACTTAAAGTGATCAGTACAAACTGCAAAAATGACCTAAAGTAAATAGGATCAAATTCAATAAGGACAAAAGCAAAGTACTCCACTTAGGAAAGAACAAGTCAGTTGTACACCTACAATATGGGAAATAATTGTGTTGGACAAAATACCATGAAAAGGAATCGAGGGGGGGAGGGTCATAATGCACCACAAGCTAAATATGAGTCAAGAGCATGACACTTTTGAAAAAAACAAAAATCATTCAGTGATGTATTGTAGCAGAAGTGTTGTAAGCAAGATATGAAGTAATTTTTCTGCTTCACTCAATACTGATTAGGCCTCTATAGGAATAGTACGTCCAATTCTCAGCACCATATTTCAGGAAAGATGTGGACAAATTGGAGTAAGTCTAAAGAGCAACCAATATGATTAAAGGTCTAAAAACATGAGCTATAAAGGAAGATTGAAAAAACTGGTTTTGTTTAGTCTGGAGATGAAAACACACATGGTAAAAGTTGTGAAGTACATAAAAGGTTGTTATAAGGAGAAGAGTTATTCTTCTGAACCTCTGACAAGATGTAATGAGCTTAAATTGCAACAAGGGTAGTTTAGGTTGGACATTAGAAAAACTTATGAATAACTTCCTTAGGGAAGAGTGTGGAATCACCATTATCAGAGATGTTTAAGAACAGGTTAGACAAGCACCTGTCAGGGAAGAGTGCTGGGGGACTGTAATAGATGATTTTTTGAATTTCCTTCCAGTCCTATGATTGCACGATGTGTTTTCTCTCAGAAGTGACACCCACCCACGTGGCACTAGATCCAGTTTTTTATTGCTCTGGTTCCCCCTCAAGCATGCCCATAGCGTGGGTAAAGAGATCGCCCCAGGCTCGGACACTGAAACGGTTCTCCGCAGCGTGCCCACCCCTACCAACCACAGGCTCTGCAGCCCCAAGGTACACTGCTCGCCAGACCCGCCCTGCAGTCGCGCTGCCGACAGTGACTTGGCAGGCGTGGGGGGCGGGCTGATGGGCCCTGCAGGACAAGGTAGAGAGCCCCAGCCCAGCTTCTGACAACTCCGCTGGGCCCACCGGGGGGACAAGGGAGCGCAACGCGCCGCGGCTGGGAGGGGAGGCCGAGGCAGCCA